CACACATCCATTACTCATGTTAAGCAACTCAACACATTGGTTTGACTAGCAGATTCAGAGATTTCCGAAGCAGCCTAATGGAACGCGGCTAATAACCCAGCCCGAAACCAATTGATATGAAGGGAACTGGAAATTATGTCGAACTTTTATTTTATAGCGAGGCTTTGCTGAGTGCTCTCAGAGTGCAGTGGTGTAGAAAGGGTAGAAAATCATAGGAATTTGTTTACTCGTTAGTGACGAATAATTTGACAAGATAGTGATCCCAGTCAACGCCAGGAGCTCGGAGAGTACTTACACTGTTTTCACTAAATTACCAATAGTCTGCAGATAGACAAAACATTCCAGCATTGATATTTTGAATAGTTGATGATAATTCCGCTCATTACCAACACTTTCTTTGAGGTAACTGTGCTCCCAAATATCTAAAAAATATTTATTTCTGTTGTAAATTTGTTCTTCTTTGGCAGCTCATTTATATTCATCCTTTGCCATTTCTACTAAAAATTTCCCTTCAAAGTCTCAATGCAAAGTAATTTGCTTTTGACATTGAAGCTTTCTTCGTTCGACGGCTTCTAAACAATTACTTAGTCACTTTCCATTTCGAAGTAATCAATTGATCGACTTAAACCATCATTCAATCAATTTTCAAATCACATTTGCATTGATTTTGCATTTTTAAAATAACACGGAGTAGTATAAATAATACATATTTATGTAAGTATGTGCATAAGCATGCAACATGTAGAGATACACTTGAAATAAATGCATGTAGAATCTTCTAGTTCGTTTTTATTGGCGTAGACACAGCCGAGTTAACAACAGCGCGATTCAGTCCTACTTTTTGCTTTTCGACGGCATTTTATATACCAAGTACAGCTCGGTCCTTCTGCAATTGGTCTTTGCAACGAAGTGGAGGGTTTTGTGTGCTTCCAACGTCCGACAATCCATGGAAAAATTTCAGATCTGGAGTGCTTTCATTAATACCGACGATATGATCTGTCCAACTTAGCCTTTGTGTCTTCATTTCCTGAACTATATCAATGTCATCGTTTCATCGCTTGCACAGTAACTGTTGGAGTTAATACTGGTTCCCAGATAGACGAAATTATTTACGACTTCAAAGTTTGGAAGCCGAGGCGGGAATGCGAAGACGGTTTATTTGCTGACAGGATATATTTCTTGCCCTCGTTCCTTGTTCAGTCTGAACGGTTCGTAGTGATCCTTCCTATATCTCACGAAGTTTTTGGTGTTTCTTCGACGAAGAGGACTTAACCCCCTGTGAGATCCCTCCTTATCTTGGATTGGGTAGATAACACTTAAATCGCTAACTTCGCACATGCCTTCATCTGACTGTATTCTGCGAACAAGTTGAGGTATGTACCCTGATAGCTCTTCGCAACCGTATTTGAATAGGTCGACCGGAAATCCATCAGCCCCGTCGCTTTGTTGTTTTTCAGACGCGCAATTGATTTAGTAACAAGTTTTTTTTTCAAAACTAATAAACGCAAAATGTATACATACATACATACATTATAAAAAATCATTGAAAACTGAATATGTGCAAATCGTACCAGTTGGTAACCAGTCCATATATTCACCGGTGCATTTTTCATTATTTTCCTATGCACAAACACATGTGTAATTGTTCATATGAGCGTTGAGTTGATGCAATTTATCGTAAAAGAGTTTAAGAAATCACGCCTGCACTTAGACTTGTTAATTTTTAATGCCAATTCTATGGTTTTCCCCCCTTCAACTTTCACTCTTTATTCGTGTCACTCAAATTTGTGGCAAATTCGTAAGGCTGCCCGACAAGGAGTGGTGCTTAATGACAGTGATGATGACGTGAAGTTAAGGAATTGGCAGTGCGGAATTGTTTATATCCACACACTCGTGGATACCCATCTACATCGCACATACATGTATACATTTGCTAAAATAGTTCAAGTTCAAGGCGATAATTCAGCGTCGGTAATTGCATACTAATGAGTATAGTACAATGGAATTCAGCATTCGGTTATAATTAAGGGCAGGCTGGATACCATAAAAAATGTATTTTTAGTAATTTAATTACATTGTTTGGGAATACGAAAAGTAAAGAAATAAATAAATAACAAATACAAGGGGAATGATGTCAGAGATATAACGATTTTTTTAACTTTGACAAGTAAGAAAGAAAAATATTAGAAATAATGAAAATAAATAAAAATTCTGTGGTAATTTCTCAGATCAATGACTTTTTAATGCTAAATTTATTAAAATTATTGAAAACTTAAAAAATATGTATTGAAAATACAAAGGTAATTCTTAACACAGAAAATATATGAAACAACCACACTAAAATTTAACGACAAGCATCACCATTCTGTTGTTCCCTTATTCTGTTATTATTTTACGGGAAATTATTTGAATGGTTTATTGGTTTTCTGAATTGTTGTGTTTAGTTGTTTGTTCCCCCTGCTTAGTGCTCATTTCCTTCAAATTACAGCTTAATTATGCCGTACGAATTTCCCGCCTTCTTATAATCATTCGCGTTGCCAACTATCGCTCTTATCGGCATGGCTAGTCACCTTGCCAATTATTCAAAAGACACTTGTTTCAAGTTTGTTTTTTTGCTAAACTTTGAGCAGTGAGTGAAGCGAACATGTCATGAGTGCTTTTTAAGAGAACGTGTCTCTCATGCTTTGACATTTCCTTCATTAAGTTTAGCACAGTGTAACAGATACTTAAATTTGGACTGAAAAATTTTAAAGTATGAATAAAATTAAGTATTTCTTAGTATATAAGGGATTTCAAGAATGTTTTATAGCTTGCTTCCATGTAGCAGGTGGAGAATTTAACAGAAAACCATAAAGGGGCTAAAAGCTCTATAGACAACATGTTAGAACTTCAAATATTAAGATTAATAACATTTTATTAATTATTTGCTCACAAGCACTATAAATTGTAGATTATTTTCCTAATGATTGATAATTAAGTAAACAAGAATTGTTTGGAAAATTGGAAATTTTCCGTCAGAATTAGAAGTTTTAAACCATATCTATGGTGGAATATTTGTCAAATCTACATACAGAAAGTTTTAAATGGCAGTCGTTGTGAGTTACATAAGTGTTTAAGATCATTTTTTTTATTGAAAAAATAAATATAAGCATATTAGTTAATCAGCGTGACTACCAGGCTAATAAAATATTATATTTTTCTAAAAAAATTCTAATGATTGAAATTCTTGGGTTACCAAAAACCCTACAAAACGCCTGAGTCCATATTTACGAAATTTTGTCAGATAGCATTATGCTTCGATTTACTTGTAATTTTGTCAGGAATAATACTTTTTGAGGGTGAAGTGGCCCAGGTACTGACCTAGCCGTTAGCATTGTTTTTATAGTTCTTTTAACTTCAATATCAATACATAATTAGCTGTATTTTTGCTTAGATCGGCAGAACGACTACTCTTCTCCTTGGGAAGTCAATCAGCGATCGAGGTATTCAAAAAATATGTCAATAACAGAGACCCACTTATTGGAGGAAACCCTATTTATTAGTTGTTTCTTGATAGAGATTTTTTCAAGAAGTGGATTGATCTTTTCGAAAAATATATATTACATTTAAGATTTGGTTATATTTTAGGGTGACCAGGACCAAGACCAGGCACCACAATTTGCTTAGTATATAAATAATACTTTCTTTACGTTTACCTTTTTTTCCCTATTATTCTGCGAAATATAAATTAAGACAAAAAATTTAACAAAATATCAAAAGCTATAGAAACGTGTGGACCGGTCTATTGTGGTATATTAAAAAAGATAATTTGCTTAATTTTTAGTTTTCAGTTGCTTCTACATTTTTTCAAATACTAACAAACCTTTTTAAATAATATGCGCTTTCTAACCGTTAAACCGCTAATTTCGGCTGAATTTGTGGAATGCGTCTTCAGGATTTTCCAACAACAAGGTCCCTCTCGTTTATGCTTAACCCCTTCAAAATGGCCGATTAATTTTTATGAGGCTTGACATTCCTGCCCGCATTTAGAAAATATATTTAATGTTAGTTGAACCAGGACTCAAAGCATGACAGCAATGACAGTATGCAAGTATCACTCGGGCTATTGAGTAAAAAAGAGTTAGATGTATTTGTAATATACAAATTACTTTAAAACGTTTGTTCTGGAAAAATGCAGAGCCCATTAAAAATGTAAGCCTAAAGAATTTTTTAGTCGGAAAATTATTTGTCTCATATTCCGACTGGAAATGATGCCGAAAAGAGAATTCGGCTGAAACATATGAATGTATGTATGTATTTGCTTCAACATGATACAAAAACAATTTTCGTTTTTTTGACACGTTTTGTTTAATATTAAAAATTTTCATGTTTCAATAATGAGAAGTCTGATTTTTAGAGCAAGGCTGGGAATTTTCGATAAAATTACAAAAGAAAAAATACAAAAAAAAAGAAAAAAAAGATTGATATTAAGAAAATTTTCGAAATGACTAAAGAATTAGCTACCAGTTTTGAGGATGATTTATCAGAATTAAGGGTTAAATGATTTCTTATTTACAGGCCTATTCTGTCCAGCGGAATAGGAGGTAACAAAAATATCTGCTGTTTGATTTTGTGTTGTTAGTTTGAGAAAAAATATAAACCAAAATGGGTAGGCCTATTTTAGGCCTTGAATTCATTGAAGATGAAGAAAAAAATTCAAAAAGTCGTAATTTAATAAGTTTTTGAGACTAAAAAATAGCCCTTTAATATGGAAAATAACGTTTTCATTCAGCTTTTTTTTGTTGTCCAGGCATTCTTTCCATAATAAGGTTCAAATATTTATGATTTAATAAACAAATTAATAAAACTTTTTAATTTTTTTGTGCACCGTGTTCCATTTCGATGTGAATATTTTTCTTTATACTTTATCAACTGTTAGTTACTTATTTCAACCACAATAATTACAGTTGTACTTTGTAATTATTCTCTTCCACTGTTCCACTGTTGCTTTGTGAGGAAAACAAGTGGTGCGCTATGTGCCACATACATAGCTGTGTACACTATATATAAACAATAATAGTAACAACAACAAACACATTTCGTTGCCAAGGGAGATGTGCCCACCAAATTTATGAGAGAACATGTGGATGCTTTTATTATACTCAACACATTTGATAGTGTGTGAATGTGTGCAGTTTGGTGGTGTTTTTGTTTTCATTCATATCTACAAATGTATGTCGTCTACCTTAACTGCAGACACAGTCGGTGTGCGAACGAAATTTGACGTTTCGAGTGGAACAAGCTTGAAAACAATCAATGAAAGTGGAGAACCAAAATAAAAAAATTATAAATTTGTGTAGAAATTGAATGAAAGCGGTGAACGTTTTAATAAAATTTAAAATATTATCCAACGAATAGTGTAAAGAATTCATAAACAAATATGTGTCTTCGCTAAGATACGCGATTCTATTGAAAGTGGCCGCAGCTGCGAACGCGACGCAATATTTGGAATAAATTTTTTCTTTTGTTATTGTGGGCTCATGCGATTACGTTGCCAACGTAGCGGTGCACACTGATAAGCAGCGTATTTGTTTATATAGGGTAAATAAATAAATAATTAGTTAAACGATCGCGAGCAGATGCATTTTAGAATTTTGATTATTTTTGTTGAATTACAAATTTGGCTGCATGTAAATATGTAGATATACATATATGTGTGTGCATAAGTTTGTAAATAGATTTGTGGGTCTGTGGCGCAGACTTTCACATTGATATTTGTATGTATGTGTGTACACATGTGTATAATTTTGCTTTATGCGTAGATATGAGGCAAACATATGTACATGTATGCATGTATTTGTAGAGAATTTCTCATAAAGCCCTTTGTGCGAGGCCTCAAAAGCCAAACATACACACACACGCTTGTTCAAAGCTGCTCCAAACAGCCACTTGGGCTTGCCAAAACAAGTAGTCAACTCTTTCTGTGCTCTCTTTATTTTCTCTTACAGCAATACGTTTGTTTTAAAGAGAATAAGTCTGTTATAGGAGAGCTGTCAATCAAAACCATATGATTGCAATAAGAATATTAATTAATTGAAAAAAAACTACAGCTTTTAAAATTATGTTTTGAATTAACTTAAGTTTTTAAGATGAGAAAATTGTTTTTTATTAAAAAAATAAGAAATCAAATTTTTATTTTGATATAATCTATTGGTGTATGCATTAATTCGTGCGGTTTTTTTTCGAAAATTAAGACTTTATTGTGAAAAAATTATTTTAATCGTCTGGAAACGGTTGCTTGATGAACTCCTAATAATTTTTGCATGTTCGTCTTGCGTCTGGCATGCATCTGCGTCGAGCAATGTCTCCAATTCTTCGTTTTGAAAATTCTTTGTCTGTCCGTCGTCTAAGTCGTAATCGCCATTTTTAAATCGAGCAAACCACTTTTGAGACGTTCCTTCGGCTAAAGCACTGAAAACGACGCGAAATGGCAGTACCTTTGAAATGAATATAGCAACAGATGAACACTTCGCGAAATAATACTAGTAGAGCCCTCTATTAGAAAACCGCACGAATAATAATGCATACACCAATATATTTATACATATGTTCCTTTCTTACTTGCGTGGACACCGTTCCACGTGCCATTCATTCTTTCTTTTCGTTGCTCGGCGCCAACTCCAAGCCATGCCCTTTTCCAATTGGTCATTCCAACGAAGTAGAGGTCTTCTACTTTCTCTGCTTCCATCGGCAAAAGCTTATAATACAGCACAGATATTTAGCTCGTTTAGTCGTTCAGGTCATTTAACGTGAGGTCCGGAAAATGGGCTGTTTCGACTAGTAGGCTTTAAGAGGTGGTTAGTGTCGTGCGAGGTCCGAAAGCGTCGTGGTCATAAGTTGGGTATATCGGGGACCAGGCTGTATAAGCAGAAATTAAGTCGGCTACTATATCGAGATCTTAATTATGTCTGCATTATTCGGGTCTGCAATGCATGGTAATTGGATTCTGCGAACGCCGTTCACTGGCAGAGAGTTTAAGATGGTTTTAACGGACTCTCGATGCATGGGGTTTTAAGCCTGTCAGTACGCTGTCCAGTTCAACGGTTCTTGTGCGTGGTGCTCTTTAGTCGAGTATTCCCTTCCTGATGTGGCTAGGTGGTGACGCGGCTTCAAGTAACTGTCTGTTGCGATGCTACAGCACAGATTTATGGTCCTCAACGCGTAGCATAGATGCTTCGCTGTGCAAGTGATGCTCACGGTTATAAGAGAGGTATCTAGCAAGCTTGTAGCTTCTTCCTCTGCGTCTCGTTAATCATCGGCATTCAAATCGGAACAGCATAATTTACCTCCGGTTGCCAGCAGCGTTTATTTGCCTTTCCCCAGGTATGCGGAGCCGAATATGACTCCCAGTAAATTCGGGTTGTTAATTGTCGGAATTTTTACGCCGCCTCGCTGTACGCCGTACTTCTAAGTCCACCTGCTGAAAGGTGTAGCCGAGGGCTTCGCAGGTTGTAGCTGAATTGTCGAGCTCTTTTGTCGTTTATTTGGCTATGTTTTTGAAATAAAAAAATTATATTAATTTGTTATTTTCGCAAGTTCTCAATATATTTCTAGACTAAAAACCTACCATTCTATTATTTAATTCCGAAACAGGTGCAGCTCCCATTCGAAAAACGCAAAATGACACACCAAGAACCCCTAAAAAGTAATGAAACGACTATTTGGCAAGCGGAAGAGGACGCTGCTCCGCGTGGTACGAACAATTCATTTGAATAAAAATTAAAATTGAAATATTTCTAAAACAAAATTTTATTTTTTTAGCGCCTTCTATGTGTGACGACAACCTGTTACCCGAGCTGCACAATGAAATTCTGATGAATATCTTCTCCTATTTGCCTTATACCGACTTGACACAAGCGCGTTTGGTGTGTCGTCTTTGGATGGAAGCCATCGCTTATACGAGATTTTCGAATAAATTCTGTTTATGCATCAGGGAAGATAATGTTTCGGACATTTCGAGACAGCTAATAGAAGTGGGACATTTTGCAACCGGCATGAAGTATAGTCACCTCATATATGTAGGCGCTGATGCCACGCAGATTGATGAACTGATATTGATATTTGAAAAAATTGGTGATCGCGTACGCAGCCTAAAATTGAAGACTCTCAATGGTTTTGAACGTGTTTATAAATGTTTTCCCAACCTTGAAAGGCTGACGTTGGAGAGTCTGTATGTTTTCCCGACACAGTTACCATTTGAGCTGAACGCGTTTGGGTGTTTGAAAGGCTTACACTTTGTGGATGATTCGGTGCGCCAAAACTCTTCTGAGGCTTTATTGAAAATTTGTGTACGCGAAGGGAGTGCTATCCGGCTGGAAGAGTTGAGTATACGTGTTTATGCTGAGCATGCAGAGCTCTTTCTGGCTGTATTGCGTGAACATGTTGAGACGTTGAAGAGTTTACATGTGGTCTATTTCGAATCTATAAACGAACCATGTTTGTTGGTTAGGAAATGGTTGGACGTCTTTGGCCAACTAAAGAGGCTGCAGAAAATTAAGATATACGCTTGCAATCCACACATTTTCGAGGGCACGCTCAAGTGCTTGGAAGGCTTACCGTTGCGTTACCTAGAAGTGGATTGCTTGCGTCCAGTAAATCCGAACATCTTTAAACTGCTTGAATCGTGCTCGAAAACACTGGAACATCTGGCCTTTTTCAATTTCTACTTACCCAAATACATAGTGGGTATGCATACAATAAGTCAGTGTTGTCATAATTTGAAAAAACTCATATTGAGTTATACGCGTCTACTCGAGGAGGATGAGCTGTGCAATATAGCGTGTAACCTCGTGAATTTGGAAGTTTTAGTGTTGAGATATTGCAAGAGTGCGGTCACAAATAAATCACTGGCCGCTATTTTTCAACATCTCACACGTTTGCGGGAACTGGACTTGAGTGGCAATAATGATTTTAATCTCACGGCACTCACCGGCACCGCCGATAATCTCTATCCCATACGACGTCTACAAAGATTGGAAAAATTAAATTTAAAATCCTGCCAACAACTGGCAAACGATGAGTTTTTGGTGACTTTGAAATTTCCCTTTTTGCGTAGTCTACGATTTGGGCGTGGCATTTATACCGATTATGGCATACAAACTCTGGTAGAACAGTGTCCACTTTTAGAAGAATTAATCATCACTTATTGCCCAACTTTGGGACGAAATGCGCTTTTCTGCATTGCAAAAGCTTTTCCACGCCTACGCACATTACACTTATTGCATTGCGCACAAGTTGACAAATCAGTAAGATTGAGTTTGTACGAAGAGTGCCCGTTACTGACGGACCTAGAAATTTCGGAAAAGCGTATAAAATCGAAAATGTACTTTCTCCGTTAATTATGTAGATGAGGAGTTGTAAGAAATGATCCTAGGGATTTCTGTTGTCAGTTTTGATTACCGACGCAATCAATTATAGGTTAGGTTAGAGTTTTAGATACCTGAAAATTGCAATATACATATATAGCGTACACAAATGTATTTTATAATTAAAATTAGGTACTCCATCGAAGTGATGTCGAGTGCATGTCTTAAATATATACTCGTACATATGTACAATATATATACCCCCGTAAATATCTGTTTAGTATTGAGTTTGATCCAATACAAGACTTTTAATGTAGTTTTACATCATATATGTGTAGTAAAAAGTAATCCATTATTATTGTAGTTTATGGCTTTAGTTATCTGTATATTGCTTACTATAAATGCTATTGGATTATGCTAACTAGATTAAGCGTTAGAAAAATGATATTTTGTATGAGAAAACGAGAAAAGTGTTGATCACTTAACTCTTCAATGTCTGAGCAGATGCCAAAGATTGACGCCAGCAAAGAGAAATAATGGTAATCGTCGAGTCTGACCGTCATGCGAGACGGTTTCGATTGCTCAAAAGCCAAAAATTACACCAAAAACAGTTTCGAACCACTCGAAGAAACCTGGTTACACAATTAAGCTCGATGTATGGGTGTCACATGAGTTAAAGAGGAAATTCATTTGTAAATCGCTTCAGAATCGTAAAAAATTCGACACATTTCCGAAGCGGATTATAACTGGTGACAGCTCCAGCATAAACGGTCTCCAGGCCAGAATTGACGGTCAGAAAGGATTTGTTGTGTGTTCGATGGGATTGGTATAAAATAATCCACTAGGAGAAGTTCCTCTAAGGCCAAACTCTTAATTTCTTAGATGTACTGTCAGCAGTTGGACCACCTGAAGGAAGCAATGCCCAGGAGCGTCTAGCTTTGGACAACAGGAGAGGGTTTGTGTTTCGTTAGGATAACGCCAAGTCGTACCAAGGGATGATCATATGTTGCTATTCTATCTATGGCAAATGATTTGGCTGGTAAAGCATCCTTTCAATTTTTTTTCCAATAAGGACAGGCTTTCTATGAGAGAGGCAAAATACATTCTTTTTAAAATACCAAAAAGTTTTCGAGCAAAACGGTGCATATCTGATGTTAATCGGAAGCCTATCTAAATAAGACGCCTCCAATTTAATGAAAAAATTATGGATTACTTTTTACTAATATAGGCTTAAAAATATATATAGTAAGTATACTAACTTTTAGGAAAGTATATTTAATTTATTAAAGTGCAATAATTTAATTCTGTTTTACATAAAGAAGACAAAAAATCTGTAACAAATTTCATATGAAAATGAGAAAAATTAAAAATATTTTCTAACAAAAAGATTTTTGCATTTTTATTGAAAAGCAAATACACTCTCACTGAAGGATACCTGAGCTTTAGAGTATATTGACTTAATGGAGAATACTTCTCCTCAGCTTGCTTAACGCTTTGCACTCCACTGTCCCCTCTCAAGAAACATCGTAATTCTGGCATATCACTCGGATTTATCCTCTCTGAGGACATTCTAGTTTATTGGTAATTACGGCAAAATGAATGACACACCACAAGTTTGTCAAAAGACCAATTGACAAATTGAGGAGCAGTTTTCGTGTGTCAAGAACGTTCCTATCCACATCTTCTGGTGACAATAGTTTGAATAATAAACTAAATATTCCAGATGTGGGACGAAGAAAACGCGACTAAGAGCACGACTAAGAGTACTGTCACCAGAAGAGGCAGGGCTTGGCATGGCGGCAATATAATCAGTCTCATTACTTAATTGTCACACCTCGTGTAGTATATTCTGACAGGAAACCACCTGATGGCTAGCGACAAACTAATTACTATTGTCAAACATGCATATTAGGGAGTCTTTCAGAATTATAAACAAAAAAATAATGATTTTTTTTTTTACAAATAAACATTCCTCGATCTCAACCAATTCATATCAGTCCAAGACCATTATAATATGTTACCTAGTTCTAAAATTATAATAAGTTATACGAGGAATTGCCAATGTTTGTTTGTTTCTGCTGTAAAGTGGCGCTGAGTGGCTGATAGCCAACACCCGAAATCGGGGGAAGTGCAAAGGGTTAATTGCGATTCGAGTCTCAAACTGATGACAATGAGTTATCATGTATTACCGAATAATGGGTTAAAATGTCTGCTGGATGTGTGCAGTTGATATATCAGCTGCGGGGATAAGTAAGGAGATGTATATGGCGGTGGCGAATCTGATGGTAATCATCACTTTCAACATTCTAAACTCCTCGAAATGCTTCAATTAGGCTCTTGTACTCTGTTCCATCAAAAGCAAAAAAATATAGTTTTTTTTTAATTAAAGCGCGGTGGTAGAGGCACCGGTGATACAGAAAGAAGCTGTACTTCGAAGAAATCATTTTGAACGATTGTAATCTGTTTCGTGGTATATTGAGAATGGGAGTACCATCGCTACTGGAGGTTGAAATTACAATTTGGAAGTCAAATAACTACAATGTTCTCTCCTAACGCTTGTTCGCATACCTCTAGTATGGCAATGGATGGCTTTGATAATCTGTAACTCGCGTTCTAGAACTGCGATGGGAATGCGCTAGATGATATTTTGTTCTAAAAAAGATAATGAGCGAAGTGCGGATATCAAATATGCACACCACCAAAGAGATTTTGCGCTATGTTCCAAAATTTTTCTTCGATAAAGATGAAAACGCAAGTAAACTGTAAAAGATGTTTCAAGATATGGAAGGCCAATTGTGAAAAATCTCGATAAGTAATGGAAATCGTCGAGTTTGACGTCATGTGAGCACTGTTACGATTACCCAGGAGCTGGATATAGAAAGAAGCTCGAAGTATGGGTGTCACCTGAGTTAACGAGAAATGACTTCCCGGACCGAATTTCCATCTGCCAATCGCCTGATCTGTCTCTGAAGCGGATTGACGGTCACAAAGATTTCATATGGTTGTTTAGTGGGATTGACAAAGAATCATCCGCTATGAGCTGCTTGCCTACGGCCAAACTCTTAATTCGGTCTTGCACTGTCAGTAATTGGACCGTCTGAAGGAAGAAATCGCCCAAGAGCGCCCAGCGTTAGCCAACAGAATGGTAATTCTGTTTCATCAGGACAACTGAAAACCTCAAATATTCTATTATATTTAAATAAAAATATAATCAAAATAAATAAGTTGGAGAACAATATAAACTTGTTCATTGGACATACGTGCAGTTATGAGTCCAACCGTAATCTTAGAAAGTCCTTCATTTAAGGGATAACGGTGTTTACCTATCATTTCTGGATTAAATGAGGAAGCGAAGTGAATTTATCTGGTGCAGAGTAAGCGAGGAATAATAAAAAGCCCACCGGAATCAGGCTTTCGGAGTGACCTTTTGTCTCTCTACTTTTCAGGTGCATGAGTTTACATTTTTCTATTCACCATCTGTCTTGCGAATACATTATAAAAATATTACAAAATCACTCAATAAAATTTTAATTTAAGGAGTGTTTTGATTCTTTTGTATACCTATACACCCACACATGTACACCAAGAAGAAGAACCAAGATTTTTTACCGGTCTAGTAAATCATATTACTGTTATATTTACTAAAAGCTTTTCATCAAATGCAAATTTGTATCCCTAAAAGCTCACGCTCAAGGGTGCTTCGAGCGAGAAAAATTATCGTTAATTCAAATGTAAACGAAATAGAAAATGTAATTGAAATGAAGGCGACAACAAATACAAACGAATATAATGAGATGTACGCGACAGCGGACAAATAAGTGTGAATACTTGGGTACACACACACACACACGTACATACGAGCATATTTAGATAAGTTGAGTATTATAAACCGCATGTGAATGTGAGTAGCCCAATTACGAGCCAAGGGATTACAGCAGGCCAGGCGCTCGCACGCCTTTCGCTACCACACTTCGTCGCGCCGACCGATTGTCAATGCTTTCGCTGCTTTTTTGTCGTTGTTGCAGTGTGTAATTTTGCAATAAATACGGGCGCGTGCAACTCCATGAATTCTTTGTATTGATGACAGTTGGAAGCACGACAACAACGGTACCGGCACTACACATGCAGCGCCGGCAGCGCAATAAAAATTTAATTCCACTCACTAGAAGCCGGTCCGCCCTGTTCGCGAACGGCGTGTGCTCATGCAGAAGCGCCACTTGCTAGACGTTTAAACGGTGTTTTGTCTCGAACTTGAACGGGCGCACTTGTAGAAGTTTTCCCGAACGCGCGCGTGAATTTCACACACAGCCAAGCGAGAAAAAATATTTAAGTTTTCGAAATGTGTTGAGAGATCTGTGTTTATTCGTGAGAATATAGATAGTACAGTGCGTTGCACATCACAGATTTGCGTGTTTGTGCTGGCGTTGAGACGCGCGCTTTTGCTTGTCGGCCGCCTGATTACCAGCCTACCTGCCTGCTGGCATTTGGACTCATATGTCGATATACTCGTAATTGCTTCTGAAAGGTTAATACTGTCGCGGTCGTCGCGCAAGTCAAGCGTATTTTATTCATTCGATCTCATTGTAATTTGCATGTTGTCGCAAAGAAAAAATATAAATAAAAAAAAAAAATGAAATAAAAACAAAACATAGAAAATAATATAATAATGAAATAAAAATTAGAGGAAAATGCAGTGCAAATACACCTTGTGGCTAAACTAAAAATAAAGCGCAAAGAATAAACAATAAACAGTGGAAATTTTCGTTTGTGTTTAGGGCTGGAAAGTGCGAAAGATTAAGAATAAACAATTTAGGAAAAAGAAAAAAAAACAATTAAATCTTTAAACCAGACATCAAATAAAAAAGTTCAAATATTTTTAGCACAACGCGCAATCCGAAGACAAAGTAATGCGATGGCGCCTACACAAGCGTCTACAGTTTCCAACACCTTTGGATTATTAACATCTACTGCCGAGCATTCCATCGGCCTTAATGTCAGCAGCGCGCTTTACGCCATTCACAACAGCTCCGTTAAGGCGTTCAACAATTCCACAGCCACCTTCAATTACACCTTTGAGGCAGAGCACAACGTTACGCTTCAACACTACTATGATCTCGGCCCGACGCGTGACCCACTTAAAATCGTCATACCCATGACGATCATTTACAGTTTAATATTTGTTAGCGGCGTCATTGGCAACATCAGCACCTGCATTGTAATCAAGAAAAATCGCTCCATGCACACAGCCACCAATTATTATCTCTTCAGCTTGGCCATATCCGATTTTCTGCTACTACTCTCTGGCGTGCCACAGGAGATGTACTTTATTTGGTCGAAATATCCTTACGTGTTTGGCGAATACTTTTGCATTGGACGCGGCGTTTTAGCCGAGACCTCAGCTAATGCTACTGTCCTCACGATAACGGCATTCACCGTGGAGCGTTATATGGCGATCTGCCATCCGTTTCTGGGTCAGGCCATGTCAAAGTTAAGTCGTGCCATACGCATTATTGTGCTAATTTGGTTGGTCTCGGTGCTAACGGCCATACCACAGGCGGCACAGTTTGGCATTATCGTTTGGAATGGCATTGAGAAGTGTACCGTTGTGCGGAATATCATCCAGCACTCCTTTCAGTTGTCCACATTCATTTTTTTCTTTGCTCCAATGTCCATTATTTTGGTATTGTACCTTCTGATCGGTTTACGTTTACATCGTTCGAATTTGATGGGCGCCGCTGGTGATACTGGTGGTGGTGTCGTTGGTGGCAGGCGGGTTTTTAGCTCGATTAGTACTGGCGTGAGCGCAACCAATGGTAGAGGCAGTACTGGTGGTGGTGGTGTTGGAGGTGCGGGTAACGGTAGCGGCCGCTTGGCGTATGGCAATAGTAGTGTTGTGCGCGCGTGTGGAACACGCAAAGGGAGCGGCCGCACGAGCATGAAGGGCACACAGAGCGACACAATGCTAAATCGTTACGTGGGCGGTAGTCAGCTGAGTGCGGTGCGCGGACGTATGAATCACTATGGTACCCGACGTGTGATAAAGATGCTGGGTAAGTGCGTAGTCAACTCTCGGCTATACATTTGTATATATGAGATCAGAATACTAGCATTAATAGTATGCATAAAATATCCGCAATGGGTTTCGGTTTAGAAATCTGCTCTATTCAGAAACAATTAAAATTTGCCGTAGTCGGGTTGTTAGTACTGTTAGTACGGACTCAATTTCCGGCCAGGCTATCATTCAAAATTATAGAAAGTTAATTTTGACCGATTGCATTGTCCCTCGACAGGCAATGTCAAACCCACCGAGTGTATTTCTGTCAAAATTATCGGAGAAGCCCGGTCAAACAACGACAGAAGCTCATGTGATTTCAAAAAGAGTTCTTCAAACAGTATTTCTACAATAGCAAGCGATTGTTAACATAAGTAGTAATATGTATTACATTTCGATATATTTATGTAGCTAATAAAATTTAAAAATAATATAAGAACAGTGAAACTCTGGTGGGATACTACAGGGGTCGTGAAATTTAAAATAAAATATTATTTTTGAATGAATTTCTTGTATTCCGAAACTTTTTACCCACGTTCGGTGCTCACTCTGCGCTAGTTCCCTTAAGCGCCCCTGGGCGCTGACTTTTCTAAAACAGTGTGAGTATTATGATAGCCGTCTTATGCCAACATTGTTTATTCTCTGGATAAATATTATCCTCAATTATCAGTTTTAAAATTTTCTGTTGGTTTTTTTTGTTATTTTAGTTTATTTTCGGTTTGACATATTAAAAGGAACCTCAAGCTCTTAGGACAACACTAGACGTTTCCGCTTTTTATCAATAATTTTGGCACTGGCTGCTTTGATTTGTGTAAACTTCATAGATTGAGAATCTTCAAGTGGTTCTTGCTAAGTAATGTATACCAAGTTTACCTCTATTTATGTAGTTTTTCTGAGCTACTGAGAACTCCACTTTATTTGCCGCCACTGGCAGAGAGCGAAGTGTATTCTGTTGAAGAAAGTATTTACATACGTTTTTCAATCGAAAATCGGTCGCTATAAAACTACAACACTTCATTTATAATATCAAGCGATAAAGCGCTGTTGTAGTTTTAATCAGAGAATTTTCTATATACTGATTTTTAAGCAATATTGTGATCCATGCCAGGTCTATCCTGATAAATCCATCATCGGAACATATTCATAACCACTAGAACGATAACGATATTTTCTTTGCATACAACAACGTTTTCAATTACCTCCCGCGGGTTAGGGGCTCAAAAATTTACCCGCGGTAAGACATGCCTGTCGTAAGAGGCGACTAAAATCCAATAGTTCACGCGACAGTCTGGTCTTTATATCGGAACGACCCGGACTTTTATCCGGCCAAGGACTGTCACTCCCGTAACATTCCCCAAAAAGTACTTTGGGGAATAATTTTGCGGTTACAACAACAACAACGTTTTCAATAACTCTGACAAGCCAATCATCTCTTGTTCCCATTGACTTAGTTTGGTTTATCTCAACATAAAATACCAAAATCTTCTTAGAATGACATAGATATTTAAAGTTATCGTCATAAACGGCAAGTTCTTATATTTCAAAAGCTTTAAATAGTTTTCGTTATCTCTGTGTTGGGTCTTCGCATTTTTATGGTAATTACACGTATATATCTATTTGTTAGTAAATATATGATTTGTTATGTATAAATATGTAATGTCTACATGCATGTACATGCATGTGCGTTTACAAATACTTAGTCTATTCCATAATATTTGCATTCTCATTTATAATCACCCTCATTTGCCGCGCTTGTAGTTCATTGACAAATGCAATTAAATTTCACCATGCAGACAAAAAGACTGATTTCAAAGTGATGCCGTCATGACTAGTTTGTTGGATTCAATTCCAAATACTCGAAAATAATGATTAATACAGCGACTGCTAAGAAAATAATTCATATGAATATATAGGTGGTTCTGAAATGTTTCATGGGACACATTTTATGACACAAATGATAATAAAGATATTTTTAATATAGAAACGATTTTAAACCCAACCAAGTGCTAACCATCTTCTGCCCGTCTGACGGATAAATGGAGCCTTCAACAGATTGGTGTCGGAATCCCGACTTTTCAGGCTAACTTCATTGGTTATATAACGAAAATTATATACGAGAAATATACAGAAAGTAAGTGTACTGAGGCTCTAACGAGAATGATTCGAGGTCTGTACGCTGAGAACTGTCGATCCGACACGTTTGGCGAACAATGTCAACCCAGACTCCCGCTAAGTGCAAAAAACGCGGCTTCATACGTTATATCGTCTGAGATTTATAATGAAAAAATCTAATGTAAAATCTGTATATGGTGATAATCGTACGAGTGAATACAAATCGTGCGGGTTGGTTAAAAATGGTGGTACTTCTGCATTATGACTAGCAGACTACACACGACCAACGCCACGAAGGAGCTACTCGTCTCGTTTAAATGGGATGTCCTACAGCATATCGTGCAAAATAAAACTATTTTTTTTCACATTTCTAAATTCCAAACTTACGATGACGCACGAGACAAATTTTATTTATTTATTAAAATTAAAAAACTTTATCAAACTTTAATACCATACATTACATATTTATTTAAATATTGGTCTAATAAAATTTATAAGATTAATTATGCAACAGATAGGTATTGTGATCTGTATCTCGCGTTCTTCAAGTGCTTATGGTTTACGCTAGATGACGTTGGAGAGATGATATTTTTTTTTTTAAAAATGACAATGGAAGAAGCGTTGCTCACTTAAAGGGCACACCTAGTGTAATGGCATGAAAAAAGGTAATTTTTGGGAATAATTATGAAAACAAAATACTTTATCAATTATTTCAAAATTTTAAGAATATATATGATAAATAATTCAAGAATACACAGTGACATTTTTGAAGAAAAAAATTAAATATTTTTTAAGTTACAGTGATTCCGGCCTTCTCCGTGGATGAAATCTAAAAAAAATTCTCGTTAAACTAGATAATATTAACTGTACAATGATCTACGATAAAAAAAAATCAAAACTTGCCAATGTAGCTACGTTTCAAATTACCCAAAATTTTGGTCGTTTTTGGCCTGCCGAAATTCCATTTTTTGATCAGATCAAAAATCGATCATTGTACGGAGAACTATATATAGTACAAGTAAAAAAACTCGATAGTGATCGGATCATTTGTTTTTGAGTAATCACTCCAGCGAATTTGGAAAATGCTGTTTCGAGAAAAACGCGTTTAAAGATAAAATGATCGTTTTCACTCGTAGCTAATGAGACTCTCTAGCTGCCGAGCGGCTGCTCTTTAAATTGCTATTACTCAAAAACTATTTGACATATCGATTTGAAATTTTAATACGTTATTTTTAAAGGTTTAATCTACTGAAATATGAAAAAAGATGGATTTTTTTTTTAATTTCACACTAGTTGTGCCCCTTAACTCAGTCCACAATTTTCTTCGATGAAAACGAAACCGCAAGCAGTAAAGCAGCTGAAAATGAGTGTTAATGGTCCTGACGCCGTAATAGTCAATCATGCGCAATTCTGGTTTCTCTCACGAAAATGCCGATAAAACAGCGGAAATTGCTGAGTATAACCATCTTTTGAGCCCTGTTTCGATTGCGCAGTAGCTAAACATTGCACAAATAACAGTTTGCAATAACTTAAAAAGTAGTGAAATCTCCAACTGCTGTAGAATCATAACAAAATCGATCTGAAGCAGATTGTGACTGGTGCTGAGAAGTGGTTCAGTTATAGCATCGTAAAATGCGCACGGTCGAAGATCAGTGGGCCGGTGCAAACGGTCTCCCAGCCAGGATTGGAGGCCAGAGGATTTTGTTGTGTGTTTGGTGGAATTGACAAGGAATACGGCCATACTTTTAATAAGCTCCAGCCCCAAGTAATTACCATCTATTCTTGTCGATTTCGAATGTTGGGTCTAGTGAAGAATTGGCCTCCAAACCTGCCTTTAAAATGGCAAAACTCGTAGCTAATGAGACTCTAACTATGGTGGTAAATAAACCCTTTAGTTTAGTGCTTTTTACTTGACCAAATAAAATATTTCCAAGCTTAAATATGTTGCCCAATTGGCTTGAAACCGAATAGTTTGTTTGACACTCCATAATAGTACCAACTTAGTATCCAATTAATAACTACAATACTCTTTTCCCATTACATGAGAACAATTGTTGGACAATTTCACATTCTGACATCTGCTTTTATTGTTTTTGCGAGTGAGTTATGAGCATTATTTTATTACACTTATTTTTATCTCATACTTTGTTTTGTTTATGAGCAGTAGACTGTTTTCGCTTTCATTAAATGCCGTTTGCCAAATATTATCATTTTCTCTTTGTACATTTGCATTCATTTGGGTAAATGTTGCACTCAAACACAATGTTTGCCAGGATCTATTATTACTTCGTACTTGTATGTATGTATATATGTATGTATGAACAGCAATAAAACGATTTGTCGTGACGATTGCATACTGTGCGTCAATTACAATTCAATTTGTTCCGAAAAAATTCGATATATGATAAGTGACATGGTGATATCGGTGTATATATGTATGTATTTATGTGTGTTAGATATACAAACATATTGCCGTTAATACTCATAATTTCACATTCATATAACATATTCTAATGAGATAGAGTACACAGTGAGAAAAATAATGGTTTATTGGGTAATTTGCGCTTAAAATGCACCAATTCATAAAAGGGTTAGAGTAATTACTTGTTTCTGTCGCAGTAGTAGAACGAGAGGAGCTCATGGAAATGTTAAATCAAGAAAAGGCAAGTTGGTAAGTTCGTGGAATGAAGTCATCAAAATTTCTTAGTACAACACTCCTTGCCGACTAGTCAGTAGCATGCTAGTGAGATTTCAACTTTATTAAGTTATTTCTGTATGGAACAATGTAATACATTTTCATAGTTTCCATCCATGCTTATCTGTTTTATTTTGGGTGGTGACCAAACGCTCTTTGTAGAAGATTAACGCATCAATCGGTTGAAGGTC